CCCCACAGTTGATAATATCATTTCTAAACTTTGTCTCGGATGATTAAGTGGATTTTGTGCTTCAGTTAGAAAGAATTCTTTATTTGCTTCTTTTTAATACCAGTTGCTACTGTAGCATGCATCTGACGAGATACAAGCGAAAAATATGCCAGGCAATTAAATTATTGGGCAATAAACATATCTTTGTCCTATTCCATATATGGTCGAAACAGACTTGCAGATCGTCCATTAAAGTAATAAATATTCTTCATTTTCATCTGGCAGTTTTTCTCAAAAGAAGCAGTTTCGTATTTGTGGTTTACAGCAGGGCTGTGAAATCCGCACCTTGTGGCGACAACACTTTCGTATTTTCAAGAAAATCTTAATTCAGTCGTCTTTTTGCAAACATGTTTGATAGGAGAGTAGCAGGTCAATCCTCCCAACCCTTCCCCCTAAGGATTTTCTTGAGGGTCTTAGACAGAGATGTAATGCATAGGTGACCTCAAAAAAAAAGGGAGATCTCCCTTAAACTTAACAAATTTAACCAACAAAGCCCTGTTCTGTCTTTTCGAAAATGTTTCGTAGATTTCACACCTGCCCCACAGGTGTACAGACGATCAATGTTGTTCCTTTATTTACATACCACAGAACTGACATTCTACTCACATTATTGAAACTGTACACGTCACTCTCCACATGTTCACGTATAAACTTGTTTATCTTCTTCTTCTTTCTTTCGTAATCTTTGCAATAGACTTATCTCATATTTTTGCAAGTATTTATTATCTAATTATTGAAACTTCGGTTGGGGGGGGGGGGTGGGGGGGGGGTGTTTTTTTTTTTTTAAATTTCAATTCAGCGGGGACCATTAAAATCTTGACTTTAAAAAACCGATTGTTTCTCTTTGGTTCAAAAGTTTTGCCTTGATGTGTTGTATATTTGGGGACAGTCTTTAGAGTTTACGTGAATTTTGGTTGTATATTCAAACACATATCTAGATTTGCTGTAATTTGTCTAAGGAATTAACAGTTTCCTGGAGGACAGATGCCACTTGTGGATGCATCTAATTGCCTATTCAGGGTCAATCTCTCAGGTCTAGTATTTTAAAAATAAAGTAAAACATTTTCTCAAGGGAAATAATTAGAAGAGACGTATAATTTCTGGGACCATAATTATACACGAATTGTGTCCTGTGCTAGAGAATTTTGTGCACTGTGCTGAAAAATTCTCCCCAGGATGTTGATATTTGGGAGGGAATATAGAAACGTTTTTTTGGAGATAAGCATGAGCAATGAAAGGTACATCGTTTTACAAATAATTGATATTAATCTTTCCGGGCCCCATGAATAATTCATTTCATTCAATTCTATAGTCCCCAATGAATGATTCACTTCATGTTCTCTGGTTTATGAAATCATTCAACTTCAAGTCTCTGAATCCATGAATCATTCATTTTATCATTGATATTCCCCTTAGAATCAATTCACTTTATATCTCTATGACCTCATGAGTCACGTCACTTCATCATCTATAGCCCTATAAAAAAACTATTTACTTTCATCATCTGTAGCCCTATTTGAAAATGACTATTCAACTCATTCATCTTATTAGGCGCTATGAACTATTCCACTACATCATCTAAAGCCCTGTAAAAACTATTTACTGTCATCTATAGCACCTATGTAACTATTTTACTCTTCACGTCTAAAGCCCATTATGGAACTATTCAATTCATCATCTATTAGCCCGTATGAACTAAATTTATTTCATCATCTATTAGCCATTATAAATAATTTACTTTTCCACTCGTCCTGACCAAAAACACCTCAATTTTTAATCACACGACACTCACTCAGAAAGTTTATCCTAACCTTTTTATGCTAATTATTACTATGACAAATGTAAAAAACAAAATTATGACTTGTGATGGATGTTGCCGGCTGCGAGGTCCTGGTAAACAGTTCCGACTCCAGAAATCTCCGATATGTAATCTTTCATTTCCATCAGGCGTTGGACTCTTCGCTGGGCTTCGTCAAATGTTTGTCTGCTGGGATTTGAAGTCACGCTCTCGTACGTCAAATTTCGTGTTTTGGAATCCAAGTTTACCTGTGGAATATAAAGAAATAACATAACATAACATAACATAACATTTGACCCATTAGGGTTATAGAGGTGTATGGATGGAAAGCCCTAGCACATAAAACCCGCCATCTTTCTCTGTCTTTCGCTTGATGAATAAGTGTCTGATAACTTAGTCCATTTCCTTAATGTTGTCATTCCAGATTCTTCTTTGCCGTCCTCTTCTTCGACTACCTCCCAATGTTCCTTGGAGTGCAGTCTTTGCAATCGAATTATGTCTCACCACGTGCCCAAACCAAGCTAGCATGCCACGTTTCACCACTGCCAAGAGAGGCTCCTGATGTCCTGCAAATTTGTATATTTTGTCTTTGACATATTTATTAGTTTTATGTTCTAAATAACTAATTCGTAAACTGCGTCTGTAGCATTTACAGCTGAAAGCTTGAATCATCCTTTCCATTTCAACAGTAAAAGTCCAACCCTCACATCCTTATAAGAAAAAAGACAACACAGGTGATTTGTAAATATTGACCATGACTGCGATGCTGATTCTGCTCCTCCACATCGTATTCAACTGCGACATCGCGGCTGTTGTCATATCAAGCAATATGTTAATGTAAATGATTTTTATATCTAGAGAGACAAACTACACATTATAAATGAGAATCATCAAATGTTATAAATCTTATGTATACTCAACCCTGCTGTGTGGTGCAGAAACACAGACAATGAACTAGCCACTAAAAAAATCAAACTGAATCTCTGAAAATGTGGATATACAGAAGAATAGTTTGTATTTCATGGAAACAAAAACAATTGAATTCAGCGGTTCTGAAAAAGACTTATAAATGAAAAGAGAATTACTGAAAGAAATTTTAAAGGAGACGTTTGAAATAATTTGGCCATATTAAAAAACATAACACTCTTTTAAAATCCATACTGTAGGGAACGGTTGAGGGATTTTGAAAACCTAAATTCCCAGATTTCGACTCTGGTGGTAATAGTATTAATGATGAACTCAGTCACGATAATAATGATATAGATGTGTTAATACTGGTTGCAGATCACCTAATCGAAAGATTACTCACCTCTCTCTTGGACTGAACAGCCACGTAGTCGTTGAATATTTTCATTGCCAAAGTAGGTAACTGTTTGTTTGATTTTGCTGTTTTGTAATTTTCGCAAGCAATCCAGAATTCGATGTTCTCGTCGCTGTGTTCGGACATCAGGAACCCTCGGAATAGCTCAAGGCCGTCTGAACAGAAACAGATAAATATAAGGTAAAAATTCAATTGTGATTTAAAAAAAAAAAAAAAATTAACACAACGTTTTTCCAACACAGACAAACAAAAGCCAACTTAACTCTCTGTCCCAAAGAACGCATCATACGTTCAAGGCTTCCTACCTAGAAGCCCAATGAACGCATGATGCGCCGATTTTATGACTTTATTGACTACCCCCTTGGCCTGTGATGCTAAACCCCCTGGGACTCAAAGAGTTAATGAAAGCATAAACAATAGAAATGTGAGCGTCGACTTGATTGCCTCAGTTTTAAACGGATCACCTTACCTAGGATTTGAACCAGAGACACCTGCACGAGATTTCAACACTCTTCTTCTTCCTCTTATTCTGCGCTCACCATGAAAAGGACGGCTGGTACTTTCAGTTATGGTTCACAGCTAGCCGCCGATATCTGCACCTTTCTTACTAACACATCCAATTTCAGCAACTTCTGATTATAGTCTTTCACGATATGCTAATTAGGGGGCTTTGGGTCCATCTACCCCCCCCTCCCCCACAAGGGACCCTGACTGGCGTAGCCCATTACAGGTGCTCTAATTAGGGGGCTTTGGGTCCATCTACCCCCCCCCCTCCCCCACAAGGGACTCTAACTGGTGTAACCATTACAGGTGCTCTAATTAGGGGGCTTTGGGTCCATCTACCCCCCCTCCCCCACAAGGGACCCTGACTGGCGTAGCCCATTACAGATGCTCTAATTAGGGGGCTTTGGCTCCATCTACCCCCCTCCTCCCCCACAAGGGACCCTGACTGGCGTAGCCCATTACAGGTGCTCTAATTAGGGGGCTTTAGGTCCATCTACCCCCCCCCCCCCTTCCCACAAGGGACCCTAACTGGCGTAGCCCATTACAGGTGCTCTAATTAGGGGGCTTTGGGTCCATCTACCCCCCCCCTCCCCCACAAGGGACTCTAACTGGTGTAACCATTACAGGTGCTCTAATTAGGGGGCTTTGGGTCCATCTCCCCCCCCTCCCCCACAAGGGACCCTGACTGGCGTAGCCCATTACAGGTGCTCTAATTAGGGGGCTTTGGGTCCATCTACCCCCTCCCCCCTCCCACACAAGGGACTCTAACTGGTGTAGCCCATTACAGGTGCTCTAATTAGGGGGCTTTGGGTCCATCTACTCCCCCCCCCCCCCACACAAGGGACTCTAACTGGTGTAGCCCATTACAGGTGCTATATTTAGGGGGCTTTGGGCCCACCTACCCCCCCCCCCCACACAAGGGACTCTAACTGGTGTAGGCCCATTACAGGGTGCTCTAATTAGGGGGCTTTGGGCCCCACCTACCCCACCCCCCCCCCCCCCCCCCACACAAGGGACTCTAACTGGTGTAGCCCATTACAGGTGCTCTAATTAGGGGGCTTTGGGCCCATCTACTCCCCCCCCCCCCCCCCCCAAGGAATCCTGACTGGTGTAGCCCATTACAGGTGCTCTAATTAGGGGGCTTTGGGCCCATCTACCCCCCCCCCCCCAGGAATCCTGACTGGTGTAGCCCATTACAGGTGCTCTAATTAAAAGTTCTTTGGAAGTTGAACTTGAACGGAGTATTATCCATCGGCGACCAGGTCGCCCATTGGCTGGCCGGTAGATGACTTCGTCGCCGGTCGGGATATTATTTGGGTAAGTTTTTCTTAATCGCGTGAACACTGCAAGAAACCTTTTCAGGGCTACTTGTTGGCGAGCATTGCTAAACCAATTTATATTTTTATGGCGCAATAAACCTGGTCATAATAATAACCAAAAGACCCGCCCTCTGCTCTTTCGGGAGATGTTGGTTGAATGTGACGATTTTTTTTAGCAAAACAAATTAGGTCAAATCAAGTCAAGCAAAGTCAAAACAAGTCAAGTATGGGCTTTGTCCTTCTTTCCTCCAAGTGAGACCCCTCGATCCTTTCCTGTGTTCCTCCTGCCCCTATTTTTATTTTTTATTTTTTTTTACGTATCCAGAAACCATGAGAAACCCTTTGGCTCGGTACTATGGATATCGCAACCCTTCGGCATTGATTCCATTATAGGTACTGTTAATCTGGGAGAAATGTGGCTTTCCTGCCTACCCCCGGGAGTGAACCCGGACCACAAGGAGCTCGTCACCCGGCCGCCGCGAAAGTCAGGTTTAACCAACTTCGCTAGAGAGCCGGGTAACTCCTCCTGCCCCTTTATAACCGATGTTTCCCTCTTGGTTCGTGCATCTTCTAATTAAGGTTTGAGGTTTGAACAACGGATCAACATCATGGCACAGTAACCCATAAGTGCTTCGTTCTTCATTTAACTTTAGTCTGAGTGTGAAGAAGCTGAACACAATGCACAGGCTCTGTAGCACCGCTCTGTAGGATCCTTAAATATTTTGGGTAAATTTTTATCTCTAAATTTTTCCCAGACAGCGCTGTTGGGCTACTCTTTTCGTTTTTGAACTGCCAGGGGATTTTTTTTTTTGCGTGCGCAACAATGCACACGGGCGTCCGATCTCACTACCCAGAGACCAGGGGGAATTACTAGAAGTCCAAGTCCACGTGCAAAAATCCCAGCCCTTACCGGGAATTGAACCCGGAACCTCTAGCACTCGAGGCGGACACCATGCCTCGAGACCACGCATCCATTCCCCCCCCCCCCCCCACCATGCTCCTTCTAATTTGGCAGGCGTATTTTATATGAGGCCACGCCCTTAGAATGGATAAATCAAGACTTCCTTACCAAGCCCTCATTTGGACACCACAGGGGAAAAGATCTCGTGGAAGACCAAGGGAAACCCTACGTAGAACTATCATCAGGGAAGGCTCGCTCATGGGCCACTCAAACATCCAAGACCTACAACGGATTGCAACGGACCGCCGTGCATGGAGAGTCATGACCTCTGCCCTATGTGCCGCACTCGACACAAGAGGAAAGACTAACTAACTAACTAAAGCTAGTTTTACACAACATACTCTCGGACCATCATTTATAGTTTGAACATGTTGATTATTTGGCTTAAAAAAAAAGTATTACATGGTTTCCCAGAAGTTTCCATATATATGCACAAAATCAACATTTTTAATGAAGACCATTAAAAATTTTTTTTTTTTTAATATTTCCAAATCACTTCTATTGTTTGCTGAAAAACACAAATAACAGCTTTGTTACGTGATATGTTTATTTTTCCCCACGTATGGAAACTTATGGGAAGACCCCGGGACGACAACGGGACGACAACTCACTTTTATCGAACAGCAAACTTTCAAAGGATTTTCCCCACTGGTGTGCTTCCTCGGGATCGATGGAGGCCAATCGTCTGGCGCCTTCATCTTTCTCCATGATGCCAAGGGTGGAGTCTGTGTGGCGTCGCCGAAGGAATTTAATCTTGCGTGTTATTTTCTTAGCTCTGTAGGGGCAAAGATAAATGTAACACATCATGTAGTATTGAATAGAAATAGGAACGCGTTTCAAACGTTTGGCACACTGGGCTTGTGGTTTTGTTCTTCCTTTGGTTTTTTTTTTATTAATATCCTACCCCCAAATGACGTCACATGGCAGTACAACATTTTAGAGGGTGATAAGAATGGGTTCTTGGCTTTCTGTAGCTTTTAACGACCCCGACACATCTAGAAACTGGCCGTAACCCCAACCCACCGACGTCCCACGAGAGAGTGCAGCCTAGGTCTCACGAATAAATGCAGCCTAGGTCCCACGACTGAATGCAGCTTTTCTTCCACCCCCTGAAATATTACACTGTCCCGTGACCTGTGGATTTCCCCCGTTTGGGTAGGATATTAATATAGCACCTTTCTATGTCCTAATGCTTATGCCGTAAAGTGACATAGGGAGGCGTTATTTTTAGTTTCCTGTCTTTTGCTAGTTGGGTAGCTGGCCTTTATGAAGTCTCTCTTTTACTCCCTCTGCCCATCTATTAATTGGTCGGCCTCTTTACCGGTGGCCTGCTGTTTTCATGTAGCATAGCCGCTGTGTGATTTTGTTCCATTTTGACCAGATGACTAAACCATTTAATTGAATGATTTTCTATGAAATCAGTCATCTGTATTATGTCCGCTATTGTTCTTAGTTCTTCATTAATGACTCTGTCTTGTCTTGTTTTGCCCAGTGCATATGGATTGCTTGAAAGAATCTACTGAAAGGAGATCGAACGAACGAACGAACGAACGAACAAACTTTATTTTCAAAGGGTTGAGAATTGGGCACACAGGCCCGTCTTACATTCTGCCCTTCTGGCCTCACGCCATGCATACATTATTCTTGCACACATTGTTTTAGCAGGTAATAATAATAATAATATTAATAATAATAATAATTATAATATTCATAAGCATCATTAACAACATCTTTGTTACAATGTACTCTAAGTATGCCCACATTTTAAAACAAGTATAATACTAAATGTAATAAATCTTGGTGGAAATCAACAATATTCTCATGAAACAATTATCTTCTAAGGGGGCATGTAGTCTGAAGTGAGATAATATTCAAAAGGCTTCCAATTGTATTTATAGGGGTTGTTGATATTTTTGATTGGTTGTGGAAGATTGTTCCACAGATGAACTGCAGAGTACGCCAAGCTTGTTTTGAAAAGTCTATTCTAGGTTTAGGGATGTGTAATATGTTTAGGCGTTGGCTATGTCGCCCATTATACTTAAAGAATGGCGAAATGTAATCGGGAGCATTTTTGGATAAGATTTTGTGAATGACTTTGGCCTTATTGAAAAGTAGTCGTTTATGGAAGGGGAGTAACTTAAGATCTGGCTCTCCTTTCAACTTCGGCCGGTAGACAAACATCGACGGCCGGTTAGTCGGAGTTATGTCCCCTTGCTACAGTGCAATTACGGACTGGACAGAAGGGAACGAAACAAATGACATAATTACTGTGTGTTGCCGATAGACAGCATACGGTTAGGGTTTGGGTTAGGGTTTGGGTTAGGGCTAGGGGTAGGGTTAGGGTTTGGTCCTAATCCTACCCCTAAACCTACACCAAACCCTAACCCATGTGATGAGGGGGAGGCTTTGAAGAATATTGTGACCACTGGGAAGATCACCTATAGAAGAAGGAGAGGCAGACTAAGAGAGACGCTGACGGGTGGATTGTGGCGATGGGAGAGGGGGTTATCATCAGTGGATCCGATCCATAAGACCACTGGTCAAGATCTGTGCAGATGCATGAATGCCTACGCCAGTCGGCAGAGCACATGATGATGATGATCATATGGTGCTAATCTTACATTCTCATATACCAATCAGCGGTTCAAATGTGATGTGGTCTATATCAAGCTGGCCGGTCACCTTTACTTTCTTAGACATTTTCTGGTGCCAGTTACAGACTGGATATATCTCTGAGCAGGCACGCGGTCACAGAGAAAACATTAAAGTGTAAACTAGCGTTTCACAAACTTTTCTTAGTGGCGGCCTTTTTTTCAATTAATTTTTTTTTCAAAGCGCCCAAACCTAAGTAAAAGTATGACTATTATTATGTGAGAGGTAAACAATTTTTGTGTTTTTTATTTTTTTTTATTTTTGAAAACTTTGGGACGCCCCCGTGAAAAGGTCGCGGCTACCCGGGGCGCCGCGACGCACAGTTTTAGAATCACTGCTGTAAGACATAACACAGTGCGCCAACAGCTCTCTATTCAGAGTGAAAGTATTTCTTGGTGACTAGATGGATTTCTAATTCTTTGTGATCAAGTAGACACATAAAGTAACTGCATATATCATTATGTCTTTGTCAACGGGTGGGTCCGTAGTTTTTGTGTGTGATAGGATGGATCTATATTTCCGCGCGGCTGCGTGAACTTGAATGTGCTTTATGCAAACAATGAAGCAAGCGGAGTGGTTTCGAAATACCTGCACACAAAAAGTAATATTGTCAATATGGAGAATGCATAACTCTCTCTGACAGGACCGGCTTGTGCAGATTTTTCTGCAACACATTTTCTTGTGGAGTCTGCAGTCTCCCACGCGATTGTCGAATCATTCGACCAGGGCTTACTAAACTGTTTATGTTTCAGACACACATTGTTGAAGACAACATTTCGCGACAGTAATTCAGTCCACTAGCAAACCAAAAGTGACATGTTACTGTTGCATGAGAATTATTATTTTCAACGCATTACGTTTGGCGACATATGTTTACAGTGCGGAGTTCAACTGACTCAAGAACCGACATCACAGCACTCGGGGCATTCCCATAAACGCTCCTTCCCTATCTTCGGCAGCCAGTGTAGAGTTTTGATACTAATGGTGCCAGTAGCAGGCTTTTTAAACGTCCATCTTGCCTTTCCTCTGAGCCTCGAGCATCTGTCAGAACCCCTCGTCACTACCCCCTGCATCAATCTCACCAGACCGCGATGATGCATCTGCTCCTCCGAGCTGTACACGCTCTCCTACAATGCAAAAACTATGTCTGCCTCATCATGCATCAGTATTCCACCAAGTTGTACAGAGCCAGCCAGTATGTCCGCCTGTTCAGTTCCCAACACACCGGTCTATGCCAGAGAAAATATCCAGACAATACTCCTCCCCCATGTCTTACGCAATGAAGCATGTCACTCTGCACGAAGCATGCCTGTCCGAACCTTCCTCAGCATGCTTTCTGAGTCAGTTACAATCCCGATATGTGTGTGTGTGTGTATCGTGTTCTCTAGCTAGCGGAAAGCCGCAGTGACCGCCTCCACCTCCATACACAGCGCAGTCTACATACTAACGTGTAGCGAAAAACTATTGGGGAGCTCTGCATTAAACACTGACAAATTAATCAATCTCATCACACTGAAGTTAGCGGGACAATGACAGAGAAGTCAAGGTGACCTCAAGGAACTCGAACAATAAAAATCAACGGGAAATATCCCAGACGTCACAGATCGATTTACCCAATTGTATATTCTCTGCGCATATTGACCGACAGTGCAATGCCCATGTGAGAAAGATTGTTTTCCTTTCACAAACACACATACAAAAAAGAAATACAATTCCTTCCAATCTACGCGTAGAATTTGCGTTTCTCTCTCTCTTTGTGTGTGTGTGTGTGTGTGTTTGTGTGTGTGTATGTGTGTGTGTGTGTGTGGTGTGTGTGTGTGTGTGTGTGTGTGTTTCGAGATTAAACACAAGTATTTGGCAGAGTAAAGCATCAAGAAATAATAGTAATAATTAATATTAAAATAATAATAATAATAATCAAACTACTAAAACACTTAAACATTGAAGGTAATGATTTGAGCCTATTAAAAGACACGTTTTGACAAAATGTGAAAGAGAGTTGTACACCCCCCTCCCACCCCCACCCACCCCGTCATCTCCACCCCCATCCCTTTTTGCAGGCTTCTATCTCAAGTTTGACAATACTGTCATGTGACAAAAAAGGTTGAAATAATTGTGATATAATTAGTTAATAATACAGCTACAGAGGGCTACTAATCAAATGATTGTCGTGGTTACATTTTAGACCAATGTTTCCCACCTTTTTTGTGTGTGCCATACACCACCTAAGCCTTTCTAAACTTCTAATCCCCCCCCCCCCCACCCCCAACCCCATCCTGTATCACAAATACATAATACTTAAACTCTGGACGAGTCCATTTTTGAATGGTTCCAAAGCCCATTAACAATCAAATTCCTCCCATGAGGGGGTGGATCCCACGTTGAGAAACACTGTTTTATATCTTCTTCTGTTACCCTCTAACTCCTGAAGGAGCATAGGCAACCAGCTCACGCCAAGTCGTTCTATCCTTCGCTATTGCATGCAGCTCTCTTCATGTCCTGGCGACTGACTGACTCTCTACCCCACTAGGACATCACACAAGCGACAAACACCCGATGACACAAAGTGCCACCATGTGGATGAGGATCGCCGTGGAGGGGTCCCAGAAACCGCGTTCAGACAATTGGCCATATTTATGGCCTGCCTATATTGCGGCCCCTGGCAAAAGCTAGGGTGAGGCTTCAAATAACAAAAAATTTCGTCCTAAAAAGGACTAAACTACTGACCCCCAAAAAGGCTTGACAAGAAAGACAACCCTCATATCCTCCCTATCTCTTTAACTTCACTCTCTAGCGCCCGTTGTGGTTTAAAAAAATATATATGTTCCTATGTCTATGCCTTCGTTGGTTCCAGTGCAAGGACATTCTAGCTATATAGTTCTCACGTTTTCTCAACGTGTGTCCCATCCAGCACCAGCGGTTTTTCTTCACCTCTTGGTCCACTGGAACTTGCTTAGTTCTTTCCCAAAGCTCTAAATTAGTGATTCTATTATACCATACAAATTCCCTTTATTATGGGCAAGCACAAGTTAATGATTGTTTGTAGTTTACTAGTAACTACCTATTTGTTCTCCCCGTTTGCGCTCCACACCACATGAGAAAGGTTTAAAACCACTGAATTAG